TTTTTTTTTTTTTTTTTTTTTTTTTTTTTTTTTTTTTTTTTTTTTTTTTTTAAATGTATGAAAAATTATCTAATAAAATTTAAAAGTCATTGATTGATAGAGATTGAGGTTTGGTGTTTATATTTTAGATCAATAGTTTAGATTTTTAAGTTCAGCTAATTTGGTAATCACCAATTCATTTATATGTTTTATCAATTTAACTATTCGAATAGCTGAAACTAAACAAATGAAAAAGTATAAATTACAATTTAAAGCTCTAGAATTTTAAAAAAGATATATTTTCAAGTTAAGTTTATGAAGATTGTGTTAATTGTAAAGTAACTTACTCCGTTGATAGTTTTCTAAGTAAATCAAGGAAACTGGACAAAATGGGTGAAACAGAAGTATCTAAAAGAAGATGAATATAATAGTTTCGAAGTGTTGTGAAACAAACTAAAATCAAGTATTTAATATAGTATAGATAATTTAAATTTTGAGTACTCGCTTTTGATTTTAAAAAAATTAGTATGCTAATTTATAATTGTGAACTGAATATTATGTTTTTTTTTATTAAATAGTACATATATTTTATATTTGATTTGTTAATTTATTAGTATTGATAAAATCTGAAAGTTGTTTACTTACTATAGTGATTTACATTAAAATATTGTCATTTAGTAGTCCAAAAACTTAATATGGTAGACAAACTTGAGGGGGGGGGAATTGAACTTTACAATTACATAATTCATGTTATGGTACCTATCAAAAATTATTAATTCTAATTTATAATGCTATGAAAGTAAGTTAATTACCCTATAATGATTGTGCTGAGATCAAATAAATGAGGAAAACGGAGAAAGAGCTAACTAAATATTATGTTAATAATAAATTATCTAAAAATTATAAATTTTAAATTCATTTCTAAAAGAGCATAAAATATTGTTTTGTTGATGAACAATTATCATAGTAAGATAAAAAAGTACAGTACCTGTGCTCCGGACACGCCAAAATAATTTTAAAAAACGGTAGATAACTGCAAAGTAAATTTTGCAAAAATTTGACTACTTTTACTTCCTTTTAAAGGGTATAGCATTACATGAGTACTGTAAAGTGGTGAATTGTATAAGCCTGCGAATTATTTAGAAATAGTGGGTGATAAAAATCTACTAAATTGAATTTATTAAACCAAGAATCACAATTGATGAACTACCACTTTAAAATATATATTTGCTGTCTGGAGCAAGTTGGCATCTCTGCATTCCAAAAGTATATGCAAGCTCTTAATACTTTTAATAATATATTAGTTTTATTTAATATACAAAAACAGTTGAACTATTTAATATTTTTATTCATTCTTGATAGTATATATATGCCTGCTCATTAACATTGAGAACATGAGAGAAATATTAATAGTTATACATAGTACTACATTCATTCATATAAAGTAATTATCATATTAAGTAATATTAGTATTCGCTCCAAACGAAAATACATAAAAATATTTCCTACTGTCACAGCAATTGTCTATTTTTGTTGTAAAGCGATGGTCGAGTTGTTAAAAATCAGCTGATTGTAGGCTCCACCGCTAAAGATGGAATCGCTAATCTTTGGGCTAAAGTGGTAGTTATATCTTTTCTCTTTGGGAGCACCATGCGTACAACTAAACACCGACTTCCTTCTATCTTGCATAGATCATGATTATGCTGTCTGCTTCGCTGCATACTTTTTTTTTTTCGTGTGGAAACTTATTTTATTTTAAAATAAATGTTAAAGTATTTGCAGAATTTCAGAATCATCACCAATGGGTACGCACACGGCGTGTGTCTATATTATCTGACTATGACAATTATACTGTGATTACATGAATGCAAAGCACAACACAGAATTTGAAATCAAAATTTCAACATTTCATTTTAAGATTTTTTGTACCAGACACTTTTGGTTACTCCATTGAAATATCCTGTATTTTGTTTCCATACCGTGCATAGAGCTAATAAAGTTTTATTTTTAAATGCATAGCATTCAATGCAAAAAAATCAATAATTTTTAATAATAATAAATTATGCATTTGATTTCAGCAACATTTATAGAACATTTGGCGAAATTTGTCGCCATACTGGCATGAACCCTAATTATATTTATTTTAATTTCTTAAGAAATTAAATTTGTTTTTCCAGAATATTCCTTTCTAGATTTCCCTTAATTAAAAAGTAAATAGCTTGAAAATTAATATTTGCCACCCCTGCTTCACATGCATTTCCTTTTCTTTTTTGCAATTTTGTGATTGATTTCCATGAGGCATGTCAAATCTTGAGCTGATAATCTTTTACAAGAATTAAGAAATCTTGTCTTTTGTATCAGTGGTTGTAATAAATTTTGTGTCTATGTTAGGTTCTGTTCCATCTGGGGCTAGCAGTCCTTCCAAAGTAATTGCATCAACTACTCGAAAAACTGCTCACACTCCATCAGCTAGTGCAAAATCTAACTATAGTGGCATTCCCAGGAGAAATACTTATAATTATAGTGAGAATAAAACACTTTCATCCTCCGATAAATCTGGTAGCCAAGAAACTTCAAACAGGTATGTCTGCAAAGCTTTTATTTTTTATAGATTTCTCTCAAATTGCATGCAAAAGTAACACTATTTTTAAACATTCATCAGCTTGTCTCAGTTGCATGAAAGCATATTAAATACTAGCTGAAAAATTTCTTCATCCCAATCTCCCAATTTTGTATGCACATCATCATTTACATATTATTCATTTACATTGCTAATTGAATATAAAATGGTCTCTTTATTACTGTATAATTGCTTATATCTTCTCTTTATGCCTCTTAAACATTTCTGTCTTTTTCTAAAGTGTTTTATTATGCTTCATTTGTATATATTTAGTTTTGCTATTTGAATTGTTTGTTTACTAATAGCTTCTTAATTAACCTTATTTCTGTACATATAGCCTCATTTTCCTAACATCAATTGTTTTTTTTAAAATAAATTTTTGTATATTCTTGCTGCTGAAAGTAGCATGGCCTATTTTTAGCTGCTTAGTTATTGCCATGATTATTCTTAAGTATTTTTTTAACAGCATTTGTATAATTTGTGCTTTTTTGGCCTTAATTTTAGTTTAATGAGAACGTTTTATTTGTAGTCTATTTTATTCATATACTTTGCTTCTAAGATGACTCATGAAATATGATTATCTATTTAATAGTGCTTTTGAATTGACAATTCTGCATTAATGAACTTCAGTTTTAGAAACTCTTCACTGATATTAGTTGGGAATAATGAGGTCTATATGTGCAGATTATTGACTAATATATTCTGCCATTCAAATCTTAACCATTAACTTTTTCTTAGTAACATCCCACTACTTGGCGATCGAACTCCTGTACCTAGGCCTAAAGGACATACTAAGTCGGCCTCTGTCTCTTGTACAGGTCGACAGGAGCTTTCGTCTTTTGACTCATCAGATCCTCTCAGACCAAGGTACTGTGCATGCAGCTTTAATGAGCTGTCATTTTTGCAATATTGCAAGAACACACTTGAAAGACTTCCCCTTTTATAATTAGAAATTTTAGTTTTTCCTTATTGACACATTTTAACAATTCTTTCTTCTTTTAATGTGACTAACATATTTATTAGTAAATTACTTAATAATTTTTTACTTATTAGTTTAGTTAGATTATTTTGAATATTTTTATTATTCTAAAACAAAATAATTTTTTTTAAAGAGTTTATATACCGAAGGACTTAAAAGTAGAGGAATAAACAAACTTTTCTGGGTATCAGATGCACCTAGGCAACTGTAAATCATTTATCAATCTGGGTACAATATTAATGGTGGTTCGTTAGTCGGGGTCTACTAAAATTTGACTCAGTCCACCATTAAGTAATTACCATTCTTCCACTGAACCATTAGTCAATGTGAAAAGATAGTAAGCTTTTCTCTCTCCCTCTTTTTTTTCTTTCTTCTTTCGTTATTGTCACAAAATAGCATATTTCATTACACATTTTTTTACAGTAATTTTCATTTAAACTTAACAAATTTTTAATTTTTTTTACAAAAAACATTTAAAAATGTAAAATGACTATTGAAAATTTATGCAAACTAGTAATATCTTTTAGTCTTAAATCCATGGACTTAGTTTTCTTGATTTTTAGACCTGGCAATGCAGGGTCAAAGATGAAATCCCAACAATTTAAGTTGTTTTTAACAACTTTAGTACATGTGTTAAGGTACAATGAAATTTTTAATGAAATTCTCAGATGTTTTGGAATAGTGCTAGTTTGCGGGTATTACAAACATCTAACACAGGCTTGTTACAAAATGCATTAAAAGTCTTAAGTTGTATATTCAATTGATAAAATTTAAAGTTCTGACCAGACTTAAGTTTTTTCTGGAAAATTGAAAATCAACAAAAATGCTTTTGCCACACTAAGCATTGCAGCTGTGTTTGGCCGCTTGAGTCATGTAATGAAACTGACAAATAAACAGCAGTTCCATGAAGTATCAAAGCAGAGGCTTTATTTATAAGTTTTTTAATCGAACATAATTGTCCCTTAGCGGTATCGAACCATGCTGGTCCGTTATTCCGCAAAGTGTTTCCAGTCTCAAAAATTGCGACAAAGTGCAAAACCTAAAAAAATTGCAAGTCTTAAGAGTTTTTCCAAATCTACCGCTGAAGAAAAAGTTAGCGTTAGAAAAAACAGCAGAGTTTATGATCTTTACTAATGGAAATACTTTAAGGGACAATCAAAAAATATTTCTTGCCTATGTCTCTATTTTAATAGCATTGCATTTCCTACACTGCAATGCTGTGAATCTGTGCTACTTAGGTATATCCAACACTTTCTTAGGTATATCCAACACTTTCTTCCTCTTTTGAATTACCAAGTATAACTGTCCTGAATGCAAAATCGTATAAAATATTCTAAAATAAAGAAGATAACGCTTCATTGCTTTTCTTTATTTTAACTCAATGCTAGCTAACATATTTTATTTAAATTCATACTTTTTTTCCTATTGTGTTTCTCACTATCATCGATTGTTTGTAAACATAAACACTTGGCTAATTAATAAATTAATTTTTTAAATCTGAATTATTTAAAATTTTTAGTTACTGAATGTTTCCTATGCTTCTAGGAGCTCTAATTATTATTAAGTATTAGTTGGGGAAAATTTTACATGTTTTCTAAAAAATTAATAAGAACCATGTTGTTTTTTTAACCAAAGGAATTGGTCTAATATATTTTGCTTAAAAATTTGGCTTTATAGAAAAGTTAAATTCAATGAAGTAAATTTCTTCTAGAAAGACCATAAATTTTTTTAAAAAAGTATGTCTATAATTTAGCAAATTATAAATTAGTGTCTTGCTATTTGCCATAAAGAATTGGATGTTTTAAAACTTCATTGAAAGATAAAAGTTTATACAACCGCGGAGTTTTACAAGGTGAATCTCCTAACTATTAAAATTTAAGCTATAAATAAGTCATTCCTACAGTTTTTACGCATTTAATGAATGTAATGATTGAAATATATGCGATTTCTTATTTTCACTTTATTTAAAAAGTCTTAACTAGTTCACCAAACTATCTACTTGTAATTAGTATCTCAACTTTTTTTTCTAAATAATTTGAAGAAAAGTGCTAGGTGCAATAAATTTTTGAAAAAGCAATTTACTAACTTTATTTTTGTTTCAAATGATATGTTTCAAGCTATCTATTATCCTATGCAGCTCAAAAAATATTAGAGAAAACATTACTCTTTATTTGTTGATCACTAAAATAAAAGAAAATTTAAAGACTCATGAACTTTAATGCTTCTAGTTAAGTGTTTTTTATGCCCTTTTAAACAAAACTTTCATTCTTTACAATATAAATAGAACATACGCGATCTAATTTGTCAAGAAACGATTGCTTAAAGAAATTGCTCATCTTGTGATTTTAGAATTGTTAATTTTATTCTTGTGGTTTTAGCACTGCGGCTATTGCAAAACAGCCTGCAGCACTGTCTCCATTGCCAGCTGTCAGCAGAGCATTTCCCAGAGGCACTGCTAACAGAAGCACGTTTCACAGTGGGCAGACACGTGAGAGACGTCTTCTCAATACCTGCAATGGGCCACAGGGCATGGTTCCTCTCAATTCCCAAGACATGTCTTCTATGAATCACTCGGGGAGACAATCCTTCTTTAGCAAGCTCTCTTTCAAATTTAGTAAAAGGTAATATATCTTAAGACAATCCTTTAAATTAAATATTAAGGTGACCTGGATATAAGCATAAATTCAAGGTGACCCAATTGTTTTCTTATTCTTTTTTTCTTTACCCGAAATGATTAGGGGAATAGTAAAACAATTTGAATAGTTTAGTGCCATTTTACTCAATAACTTGCAATCCCCTGATAGTTAAACTCAACAAATGACAATCTGTAAATTAAGCAGCTTTAATTTTTTTAAATTTGATTACAGGAAATTAGAAGTTTGTAATTGCTTTGAAAGAAAGTTGTTTTTTATTATCCAAACAATTTAATTTTAATAAAAACTTAAAGATTTTGAATTGAAGTATATGGCTTTTATAAAATATGAAATCAGGAAAAAATTATCCTATTATAAATCTCTTAAAGAGATGGTGCAATTACTTACATTCTATCAAATAATAACTTCTTTGTTGTCTTGACAGCCTTTCGTAGGCCAGGGCCTTCTTGAAAATCTTTCCATTCGACTCCCTTCCTTAACAAACTGTACCAACTGTTTTCTCTCAATGTTTTTTAATCCTTATTAATGCAGTCCTCTCTACCCATCTTAGTCTGTGAGCCTGCCTTTGGTGGAAGTTCCAATTGATTTAATAAAATTTTTAAAAAATTGAATGTTAAAGAGGATAGAACCATTTGGCAAATAGACCTAATAAGTCTTATGTGGTTGATAATGTCTGCCTTTTTATATAGCCTGAACGGCTCATTAATTTATCTGTACCTCAATATTACCATTAATATTCACTACGTCCTGAATTCTCCTCAAAACTTTTCTCTCAAAGATAGCTGGTTGATTTTTCTGCAATTTTGTCATTTCCTGGGTTTTCGAACGATGTTTTTTAACAATTTTGATTAATGTAAATTCAATAATTTGTAGCAACATGATAAAAACAATTTTTTTAGAAAAAGCTTTTAACATTTTTCAAATTTCTTATCTCCAAATATTAACCTGTTCCATTTTGAATATTTTTCAAAGTATTTAAGAAGTTGAATATTTCTTGAATCAACTCACATCTTTGCTTTTAGTTTCTGTCTTAAAGGTAGTCTTTTTAATATGCCTCAAAAATAAAAATAAATTCTTCGCTTTATAATTCAATTTTTATTTTATTTAATTTCATCTTTGGTCTCAATTGATAAAAAAATATTGTTTTTAAATGTAAGATGTAAATGTAACAGGTGAACAAGTTGCGTATAATTTTTTTTTTAATGTAAATAGGATAACTTGGCTACTCATTTATCAGTTATTTCCCTAATAAATTAATTTCTTATTTTTCAATTTATTTCTGGTATTTCGTTTTGGGGATATGTTTTGTTTTTAAAAAATGTTAAATTACTGTGATTGTCTATTTTACTGTGCAGCCCTGATTTAGCACAAACAATAGGACCCTCTGAAAAAAATAAGCTTTTTGTTTAAACTTGAGGTTGTTGCTATATTGGGATCCAAAATAAATAAAAAATTCTTGATGAATAGAATAATTCTAATTAACAACTCTAAGTTTTGAATCAGCTTAGGAGCTTCCCCCAATTAATTTGTGTTTGATTAGTAAAATAGTGTTTTTATTTTGTGTAATGTTTCATATATTTTACTAATTCTAATTTTTTTTTCAATTAAAACTTAATATGAAACGGTATTACATAGAAATAAATTTGTAATCGAAGAAACAGGAATCGTTATCAAAATTGTGTATTGTCACATTTCAAACGAGCGGAAGTGTTCTTCGAAATTTCTACTCAATTTTATTAAAATATTTTCAATTGGATTTTTTTTTAAAAAAACGCTATATACAAACATATTTTTAGTAGTTTTAGATTATTATTCTGTGCATATATATATAAACCATCTATTGCATGAAAAGTAATAAGAATTTAAAAATGGTGCCTCAATTAGGGTTCATGGGGTATAATGTTGACTGATTTAAAATATTTTTTCATTTTAAAAGTATGCAGTTTTAGATAGCAAATTAAAAATAATTTTTTTTGGGAAATGATTTTCATTTCAGAATTTACATGAGGTCCCTCCCTGTTAGATTATATTTTAAAGTCACTATTGCTGGAATTATCTTTAGTTTCCCAATAAATTGGATCATTACCTATCCTATTAATTTTATCTCTTTTTAACTATTGATTTTATTCTTTCTATCTTTTAAAATATGCTATTAGTTATAACAGTTTTTGTTGCAGATCTTATTTTGTCCAATTATATAAATTTTTCTTTCTTTTGAAAAATGACTGTAAATTTTGAGTTTTATCTGAGGTTAGGGATATACTATCTTTTGCTTAAAGGGCGGATGCTGATCTCACTCGTATCAGGCCTGGTAGTAAATACATTCCTGCGAAATGATTGTGATGCTGCCTAGTCTCTACAGCTTCAGAGTCTCCATTCATCCCTTTGCATGCAAAATAAGAACTTTTATGTTACAGAATTTATTTCAATTGAGGTGCAGTGGTAAGATACAATGGGGAATAAAGAACTGCTCTTTCTTTTGCAATAATAGCTCTAAATCCGGTTTTACGTTTTCTATTGTCAAGTTTCAAATATTTATGTTTACAATTTTATTTATTATAATTTTACAATTTAAGATTTATTTCATTGTCTTAAAAGTTTTTTTTGATTTGAATGTTTTCCCTCATGTTTAAATCATTTGGTTTTATTGTAAATGTTTGAGTATGTATTTTGTGATTTATGACCATTGTATATATTTTATTTACATAAAAATCTTTTTTTTTTTTTTTTNTTTTTTATTTTTTTTTTTTTTTTTTTGTTTCGAAGACATTAACTTTCTTATTTACCATAAATTATCATTCCTATTTGTCCAATGAATCATATTTGATACTGTCAGTTCAATGTGATTGCTTATTTATTAAAATTCATTTTTCCTTTTTTCAAAATTATTCGAGTTTATGGGTGTCTTTAATTTGATACTTTGAGTGAAATGTACAGGTTGAATCACATAAGACTACTCTGTGTTTAAAAAAAGAAAAATATGAAAGTGCTGACATTTCACATCAGTACACAGCTGTACGCACCTAATATTTCAGCATTACAGTACCTAATATCTTCAATGAAATGTCACAAATGTTTATATGGCTGATACTTCCAATGATTTCAGTGAAATTAGCACAGGCTAGTTTTAAGTGATCCACCCTGTAGCTATTTTTATGTTCCTTTTTTTTAACCTTTTAAGACTTTTTTTTTACTAAATTTTATTACCTTTTGTGTTTAAACTCCTAATTAAACATTTTCCATTTCTATATTTATACATTCTACAATATAGTAGCTTATGAACTGTAAATAAATATTTTAGTGTCTTACTTTAAGTTTGTGTTAAGGCTGGTCCTCACACATGAGTAGGATTAGATTGGCAAAGACTATCAAAGTCAAAGCAAGGCAACTTCCAAATTTCTAATTTTTCAAATTATGATTTATTTATTTTTATTGTAAGCCAAAAAATCCAGTTTTTATTCCTGTGTCATAATTTTTTTCTCCCATAAATTAAGGTAATGAGCAATTAAAGATGTTTTCCAACTCTAAAGTTGCCTTTTTAGTAGCTTAATTTATTACCTTTGTACTTTCATTGATATAATTTGAAGTTGTGAACAGATTTATTTTATGATAAAGGATTCATTCATATTTTGCTAAGTTATCAGAATTAATATCGTTGGATATTTTTTTTCATTTTGAGACAGTTATAGTTCGTAATACTCAATCTCGATTCTTGACAATGAAACTTCGAATTTATAGATCATTGTCTGAAAATTTAAAAAATATATATATACATATATTTTTTTTTAATGTTTGACTTCCATTTTTTCCCTTGTCAATTTAAGATAATTTCAGTTCTCAAATTGTTTCAAAATAGATAAGTCAAATGTGTATTGGAAAATTTTAGAAAATAAAATTAAAAGATATTTTCACGATTTTTTTCTTTTCTTTTTTTGGATCAAATGTTACAAGTTTTCTGTATTACTCCAGTAGCAGAAACTGTGCAACAGATGCACTGTAAGTTGGTGCATCTGTACTTATTAGTAGAATTGTTTTTCTGTTATTGAATGAACTTTGATTTCATTGTGGATTGCAAAAAATTTTTGTGTTCAGAAATTCATTGACCTTTTGTCAAGCCCTGCCACCCCCCCCCTTTTTTTTTTAATAATTTTTTTTTAAAGCTTGATTTGCTATTGTTGTAAACCAGTTTTATTTAAAAAAAGAAAACTAGTCTATTTTTTTAAAAAATTGATCAAATTATACTGCAGATAAAATTAAAAAATTCTGCTACTGGTTATGTTTCTTTCAGTTTATGAACATAAGATTCGTGTATATTTTGGTTATAAAATCATAACATTAGATCAGAATTTTTCTGGAAAGCTTTGTTTATTATTTCTTAGATTATTTTGTTTAATACATTGAGTCTTTTTTCCTCCACTTTTAATTAATATTTTATGATGTTGTACAGGTATGGGGTATAGATAGTCAGGAGTAAAATGTGTATATATTCTGAAGTTTTTACTATTTCCTAATAGAAAAGTATTTTTATTTAACTGACTCACAATTGTTTAGGTTTGAACATTTCCCACAAATTCTATAGGTTGATTCTAGTTAATATTTGGTCAAGGAATTCAAAATCTGAAACTGTGCTAAAAAGTTTATCAATTACAAGATTTGAAGAATTTAGCTTAGAAACAATATTTCTAGTAGTCCTAATATTTTAAAACAAGAAAAGAAGTGTGAAAATTTTTTACTGTCTTAAAATAAAGAACATTATAAATTCTGCATAATTTTCTATGAAGAACATAAAATCTAATGTAGTTCTGTTTCAAATATTTTCATGGAATTCAATACTTAAGTTGGAAATTTAAACAAATATTAATGTAACATAAATTAATCTTAATTTTTTTTTTTTTGTATTGTAGTTGCATTATTTTAATTCTTTATCTTGGGCCCTACATCTTTTCGCAGGCCGATTACAGCACCTATCTGTTGCTGGCAAGTACTCTAAGTCCCTTTAAGCATGGACAACCTGCGTATTGAGTAGTCTTTCTTTTTGCTGTTTTCCTTCACTTCTTGAGAAAGTTATCTTTTTGCTGATTATTCTGCATTGTCAAATTTAAATACAGTCTACTTACTCTCTTTAGTAAAATCCCATTAATGTGATCCTTACATTATTACAACAAAAATATGAAGTCTCATTTGCTACTCCATATACGCAATGTCGTTTTAACCCTCATCATAAGGTCTGACCTGAATGTTCATTCCAATATAGCCACCTTTTTTTTAATACTAGAAAACTATAAATTAAACATTTTTGCGGTATTCAAAAGAAATGTCTTTCCATTGACAAACGTCTGAAGGAAATAAAAGTTTCTAATTGAGTTATTCTTCACACATTTTGTTTAGTTGAACCAAAAAATCCTTAGTGATGAATGTGCTTTCCAACTTATTAAGCATGACTTGTATGCTCTTACTGTAGGCAAACGTTAAAGATTACATATTTAAAAATAATAATAAAATTTAAAAAAATTTTAGATTTTTGAATCATTTTCCAAAAATTTTCTAGAATCATTTAGAATTCCTGGGACTTTTTTCCATCCTAGTTTTTGTATTTGTTTGAACTTGCTGTATTTGAAATTTTGGGTTGTGATTTTGAATGTTATTATTATTTTTTAGGTGTCAAAGATTATTTGTTAAATAGATAACTGCTAAAATTTTAATTTTAAAATGAGTAGTTGCTTCGCATTCTTGGTGACTCATTAATTTTCCCCAAAAACACAATATTTTTTTCCTTGTTTAATTTTCTCTTATGATACATATTATTAGTGCAAGTCCTATTTGTATTTAACCTATCATTCATATATTATTTCAGTTACATTTTCATAATTTTATGCTATCAAATCGTTATTTAGTAAGAAATGACATAATTAAAAAAATTTTAATTTCACAAAATAGTTTATATTTTATATATCTTGGAATTGTATTTATTGCATGAACTTTGACATCTAATAACAATTCCTTTTTTACAGAAGATTGTATTAATATTATCTTTTTATTGTGCCAAATGCTCTTGCTAGTGCCTTGCTTTTAGAAATGATCATACTTGTATAGTAATGTATATAAATATTGGTTTTGTCCTACGTTTACTTTTGTTGAATTGTTTGTTGAAGCACTATTATAAAAACTTGTTGCAAAAATAAGTTTGTACAAGAGTATTTATCTATCAATAAAGAATTTTGAAGTATTTACTTTGGTCTGTTTACTATTACATAAAACTTTTACATTGTAATATATATATATTTTCAAGAGTTAGACGCTTCTTCTGGGTCCTATAGATTTGATAAATCAGTCACTTTTCATCTAATTTAGTTTAAATGTTAATCCTCTTTATTTTGTGGCTCTTAACTCCCATCTCATATTTTCCTCCTACAAATTCCAAAAGTAGTCTCCCTTTTTCTTTAGTTTCTATTTTATGAAATGTTATTGAATTAGTATTTTTCCCCTTTTATGTATGAAATGATCTTGTTACTCAACTTTTCTTATTTGAGTTGTGAAAATATTTTGAAGCATTCATAACCATTACGTCTGTAATTGTTTTATTATCAGATATTACATTAATATATCTGCCAACTTTTACGCTTTCCAGTAAAGTGTTTTTCTTGTGGTGATTAAGTGACATTGTAATGAGGCATTCGATTAAGATTTGGTCAACACTTAAAATACAATATATTAATTAGTAGTCTTGTTTTAACTATGTAAATGTAGTTGTATGTAAATTCAATCTAAATTTAATATGTTGAATTTAAAATCTAGCATGAATGTAGAAATTTTGTTACCACATTAAATGTACAAACATCTTCTGCAAAATGCGAAAGAGTTGGTAGATATGCATTTATATTATTGTAAAAATTGATGTGGTATGCAGCTAACAACATAAGTCTTCTGTTATAGCATTTGTTTGTTATGTTCTTTTAGTATATTTGCTTGATATGTTTAAGTTTAAAATATTATTTTGTGTAAAGTATATTTTTAACAATGAAAAAAATATTTCTTTGAACCCATTTATTCATCTATTACAGGGGTCTGTCCAGGCCGAATTTACTACCGTTTAGCGGTACCTTCACAAATTCAATTTTAGGTAAAACGATAGTTTCACAAATTCAACTTTAAGAAAAACGGTAGTTTCACAAAATACTTTTTCTTAAAATTTTATTTTTGTATCCCTTAAGAAACGATAAATCTATATTTTAACCATGTTTTTGTATTGATTTTTTAATATAATTTTTAATTTTTCACAAACTATGTCTAAATTTTCACAAAATAGGTACCTTTCAGAAAAACCTAAACAGACCCCTGTATTATAAACTCATGGAGTATAAAATGTTTGAGTTACTGTGAATACTTAGAAAACTTTTGCACAAATTTGCTAGATAATGTTATAGGGTTAATCAACGTCAATAGTAATTGTGATTTTTTTTTTTTTTTAGAGGAAGCTTAAAGTTTTACCTCAAAATAAGTTACCTAAGAAATATTTCATTTTTTTTATTCAAAATTAGTTTATTTCAAATAGGCATAAGATGCTAAAATACTTAAAGACTTTCTATTTTATCAGTTTATTATCAAGCAATGTATGCTAAAAATATATTATTACAGTTTCTGCTTTTAATGAAAGAAGTAAATATGTTTAAAAATTGTTTGAAAAATCTGTACTAATGAAAATTGATATTTGTAACATGGTTTTTCACATGTTCTTTTAAATTCTAAAATTGTATTGTAATTTTATTTTATTTTGTTATTAATAGTGTATACTGTGCAGCTTTATTTCTTCTATTAACACTTTCTAAACACTATTTTATTCCATTAGGCAAATGAATGATGACCAGGTAAAGCCAAGATCTCTGAGGTTTACTTGGAGTATGAAGACGACATCATCGCGAGATCCAAACGAGATCATGCAAGAAATACGCAAAGTATTAGACAAAAATAACTGTGATTATGAACAGCGAGAAAAATTCTTACTATTATGTGTTCACGGAGACCCAAACACAGACTCTTTAGTTCAGTGGGAAATCGAAGTGTGTAAGCTTCCCCGCTTGTCACTGAATGGTGTGCGTTTCAAACGTATATCCGGTACGTCAATAGGCTTCAAAAACATCGCTTCTAAAATAGCCAATGACCTCAAACTGTAAAAGTGGTTGAACAAATGTTATTCTCATTTATAGCTCGGTAAATCCAGTGTTGGAGAGGATTCGCTGGCAAAAAAGGGTGCATTGTATAAATCAGTTGTCGCGATCTTATGCTCTTGTTTGTGCTGCCTATTCTAATGGAAGTTCTAGGTGCCCACAATTCATAATGCTTGATAGCAAAATATACACACTGTTTTGTGGTTATTATGTTTCAGGGGTAGAGTATTTACAGTACATGACTTGTGACTTCCAACTTATGTACAGTTTTCTCATTTAGTTATTAAATTCAAATTAATCCTGGCACACAATAGAAATTTATGTAATCTATGTTTGTCAGTCCTGTCATTGAGGTTTGATAGATGACTGGTCTATCACTGTATATAGACTTAGCACTTGGTATGTAGAATTGTTTAAGAAAATGCTGTCATCTTAATTTTGAATCCCATTTTTTTTTTATATATATATATTGCCTCTGGAGAGTTGAGGTTGAACGAGTGTACTTGACTGTAAAAATTGTAAATTGTGGAAACAAATGGTAATTTGGAGAAATTTATATATAAATATATATATATACATATATATAATAGAAAATCCCTTTACGATACTGGTACTTCTATGTAACTATCCTTTTGCTTTGTTGTAAATTTTCCTCTAATTTTAGATTAATATAAGATTTTATCAACTTTCTTTGATCTTTCTTTGTGTGTTGAACATATAAGATTTTATCAATTTGCACATCTGTATATCTGGCACATATCACACCTTAACAAAAAGTATTGGTTATCCCAAAATGGCAGATTTGTAAAATTAATTTAAGATAACACAGAAGGACTGAAGAGGTGCAAAGTTTACTTCATTCTGCTTAGGAAAAAGTTTAAATTTTTAAAATTAGTTGCAGAGTATAAATAGAATAGACAAACTGTGAAACATTGTTTTTGTTATCGGCTGTTACAAGTGAAATATTTGCACTGGCACATCTGTCAATTTTTATACTTTGATTTCTTAACATTGTAGCAGTGATGGTTGGCTATTTTAAAAAATATTGTTTTTCTCAGCTAGCAGCACCATTTGTTGATGAACTAATTTTAAAAATCAAAGGGATTATAGATTTGTTTCCTAAGCAGAATGCAGCAATTTATGCATTTCTCTCTGCTTCTATTTTTTCTCAATCTGATTTTTCAAATAGTTTGTTGAAAGCCTGATAACTGCTTTCATTTCCTTTTTCACAATTGCCAGGTGTGATTTGTAAATTTTTAAAGAACAAATCTAATGAAAAAAAATTCTTGCGGTATTTATAGCTTTCCATTCTTAAAGAAAAACTAATACTTTGTTTTTGTTTGCTTTTAACTTGTGTTCTGACCTTTGTATTTATAATTTAAAAGTATGGACTTGTGAAATCTCATATTTTATAAACAATGCCCTTGTAGGTATAGTTTTTTTTTTTTCCTTGACTTGCTGAACTTAGATATTTTGCAAAACTAAACAAAAATATTTCAGTTTGTGTAAATATATTTTTTTAAAAAGAACAAGGAAAATCAATTCCCTGTGCAGATTTTTGACTGCAATGTATTATTATGTAAATCTTTTTGTGACAAAAAAAAAGTGTTATGCTAGAAATTGAAGGATCTGTTTTCATGCGCACGATTTCTAGCATGCAAGTCCTATTGTGAAAAATTCAAGTCTTAATAAACGTTGATTTGTAGTATATTTATATTAATAACAGCAATACAAAAGATCTTGGGAGACTACAAAGGGCTTGTTTCCCTTAGTTAAAGTATCTCTAAAAAATCTCATAAATTGGTTGATCTTACTCAACATCTTCCTTTCCTACTTTCCGTGCAGCTGCGAATGTGTTTTGATCGTCCATGTGATAGTACCTGTATCATATTATTTAAAATAATAAATTATAAAATAATGATTTTGCTAAGTAAATAAGATATTCATTGTTATTACAACCATGGTAAATTCTAACACTAACAGACACATTTTATCCATTAACATCTAATCTTCTGCAATTCTCAAGAATATTGGTCATAATGAGTAAAGATATACATTGTTGTTGCTATCATGAAAAACTCTAACAGACACATTTCATCTATTAAGCACATCTGCTATTTAACCCTTGACTGGTTTGCATCCCACATTTTACTGATTGTGAAGATCCCAGTAAAACACTGAAGTCAAGCCTCATTGGCTGCGGTCAGTAAGCGGGTGCGTGATCACTTAGATCAGCCTACGTAGGGACCGGGAGTGTGCGGTATCAAAATTGTGATGGCTTGTCTTCGGATCATCCTCAGGAATATTTCCCAGAACGTCGCTAATAGCTCAATCAGGGTTGCCACTCCAGGGAGAACCTGAAAAATACAGGAAATTTAAAAACCTCCTAAAATAACAGGGAATTTATGTTTTTTCTTTACAAACTGGGAAAATACAGGGAATTTTGTTTCTTATTTTTGTCTTTTAAAAAAGGTGACCACTCAAAGCGTAATCTATGGGATATTTAACCATGATATTTCAGCTATACTAAACTATTTCAGTTGCTGTAGGTTTAAGTATGTTCAGTTGTTTTTGCAGCAATTAAAAATAATAAATATAGTTATCCCAATCTAGCTCAAGCTGGAGCACAGTAATTGTTGTTTCCTCTTAATATATTGTGTATAATATGTACAGGGAAACACAGAATTTTTTTTCAGGTTTGAGTGGCAACCCTGCCAATGTGCAGCTGTAGTGCGACGTAAATAAAATACCTACCTTGACTAGTTTGCCCTTACACTGAACATGCTACCCTAAGTTGGCACCAGCCTACTTACCTGTCAGCATTTCTGTTTAAAAAAAAATAAACCAGTTAAGAGGTTAAAAAGAACAATATGAGTTGGTTTGTACGGGGGAGGGGGTCATAATTAAAGTCACCCTACTTACACCAGTATTGAATGTGTGAATGATGAATTATGCTATTTACCAAGGACTCAAATTAGAGAGGAAAACTTTTCAATCACTGCACTTGTACAGCTCCTCAAGCTTTTTACTTCAGTCCTGGCAAAATGCATAAAGGGTTTTAAATAACCTGTGTAGATTTTGGTGTATCGCTGTGTTTCCCAAACTTATGACTTTTGTGTATCTTTTCTAAATATTTCGTAACTCTGTGTACCACTAATAAAAAAAAAAGAATTTATTTTTTACTATAAAAAATTGCACAAAAGTTAAAAATCACAACAGGGTGTTGACGTAATGGTAAATTTTCATGGCTAGCCTTGTTTTTAAATAAATTTTTCTGAAATTTTCATTTATTAGAATTAAGAGAACACTATACCTCTGAAAAAACCCTTCACGACAAATTCTTTTTCACTTTCATGAAAAAAGAGTTACGGTAAACCTAGAGAAACAATAAAGTTTCTAATGCTGAAAAGAAATTTTAAGATATCAAAGTGCAAACAAATTATGACTGGATTACACACTGGAGAAGTAATTATGTTGTTTGCATCTTATTATTTAGAAAGCATTTTTGCAGCATTTGATAATTGTTTTCTCTTCGAAGTTTACCTGAAGTCACTTTTTCTTTAACTTTTAATAAACCAATGGCGAGATGAAACAGAATTTGCCACGAAAAATTTTTCCTGCAGTGTAGCGGCTATTAAGACATGGTGCTTCGTACCTGCGTTAAAAAGAAATTGTATAGAAAACTATAAAAATTAGACAATGCTTTATCATCAACACACAATTTTACAAATTAACGCTTAAAATCTGCAGAACATTTTTTTGTTGAATTAGAAAGAATTTATTTCCTTATTTTGATGAATCCGAAATTTTCATGGGGAAAGTGGCATTTCTAAAAGCTTCAAGCATGATCTTTTATAGTGTTATATAGAAGTTTTCATAATTTTGATATCCGAGAAATATTTCGATTTTATATTGCAAAAATTAATATGTAGCATAAAAAGTAGATTCCTGCTATCGTCAATGTAAAATAAACCTTACGAAAGGGACAGTGTATATCTGATTTTGAAAATGAAAATTTGGGGAGCTCAAAATGCGAAATGAAAATTATTTGTTCGAGTTATTTCGTTTGTGTTTAACAAGTGGTTAGAACATATGTAAGCATACATAAACATAAAGTTTAGGTATGCTTTAAAAAAATACGGGTAAGGTAGGAAAAATTTGATAAATATAAAAATGCTAATCCAATTTTTTTTTCCCACATGTCATTGGGTGAGGGAACCATCCCTTCCGCAGAGGATCAAAATGTGTTCGGATCACGGGGATTTTCCCCAGATCCTCAGTGTGACATAAACTACCGAATTTTAGTTTCATTTCAATTTGATAATCAAAGATACGATATATCAAAGAATTTAAAATTCATGTAAAAAGCAGATATTATTCGTAAGAAGAAATTAGCTTTTAAAAAAAAAATACATCTGATGAAGAAAGTGTATATTAACAATGAAAACATTTAAACGTGTAGGAAATGTCTTACAAAAACTGCTAAAAGTTATAGAAAAAGTATGTTGGCCGCTGATTCCGTACTCCGATTCTATACGTTTTCACTGGCATAGCTGCAAACTTTCGCGGTAATATGGAAGGTTTTTAACAAATTGGTAGTGAAACGATAATTTGAGTACAGGAAAAACAAATAAGATACGTTACGTACACCTGAATCAGATCTTCCAAACAAATTAATCCTGTGTACAGGAGTTCAACAAAAGTTGGGAAACATTTCTATACTAACTCTTAACACTAAACATACCAATAGAATACAATAATTAATCGGTCTTTTGGACGATTAGGTATGTTTAGTGCAGTGCTAAGTAAACAATTTTTCTTTTAGCAAATGCCGATATCATTCCATAGACTGGGACTGATACCTGTCCTCTAATCGAACAACTGACTCCATATGAAGTAATGCCCTTGGGCGATTGGAATTTGACAGTAAGGCAGGTTATGTTGAGAGAATGGCAGAGGTGGTAGCAGTCATGAGTCTAAAGAATTTTCATATATATATATTTAATTATTGTTGTGTTGAAAGAGAAAGAAAAAAAGCTTTTAACTTGATGCTCTCATTTTGGTCGATGCAAATTTTCCGTGGGTTAATAGGACACCATTTCTAAAAGTTTCATAATCGATGTATCTACAATTTCGTCATGTAAGATCTTCCAAAACAATTGCTGCAAAAAGAAAGATGATTTGCATGGAGTTAGTATAGAAATGTTTCAATAATTTTGTCCGACACCTTTGTGTTTATATCATCAATTTGTCATAATGCATGTAGAGCTGTATTTTTTTTTTTTAATTTTAAAAATAAAAGTTTATATTCTAACACCTTCATCGTGTCAATAGTGCGCTTTTATCCCACGGTCGGCGCAAAGAGTTACCTCGCGTCTCTAAAATTTAAACAAAACGTAAATTTTTCAAAAACTTTTTTTATTTTACTTTAAAAAATAATGATCCATTGCAATCAATAGCAATACTTAATGCAACAATAATGCTCTGTGGATATATTTATTTTATTGAGATTACATACATTTGCTGACTTGTGTGCTCAATATAGGCTTATAAGTCATTGTCAAGTAGAAAATACGAATAGAACAATTCAGAGAAAGACATCACAAAGAATACATCCAGGGTTACGGCGGGATTCGAACCCGCTACCTCCACGCTTAACAGAGCGTTTTATCCGGCGATACCGCTCGGCCATTGAGGCCCCTGTGGATATTCCTGGGATACGAGTTATCTCGTCCGCCGCGAAGAAAGAGTTGAGCAAAATTGTTGCTTCCTCTAGGAAAAGGATTCCTCAATTACACGTTGGCGGATAAAGCTCCTCTGGGGTGCCACAATAACTGAAATAGTTTGCTCCACTATAAATAAATAGCCTAACAAAATAACATTAGATATTAAATTTCTTGTCAGTGTGATCGTCCGCATATTATATGTTATTAAGTCACCTATGGTTTCAAATCATAGGTCTAAGTTTTCTTCTGCTAAGATCATTTAATACTGACCTTGACTTCTGTGAATCTTTTTATATTTTGAAAAATTCTTGGTTAGTAAATAATTTTTAAAGTATACCATTCCCTGATATTTGTAATTTTACTTCAATTTATTTTCTACACGTTGCTCTGCGTGGGTTTTTCGCCTTACTTTCCCCTCACAATTGTTTTCATCTCTTTTGTTTAATTTGTTCAATCTTGTTCCTCCTACTCTACTGCTCATGTCATTTTTTTTCTCTTATAGCACTTTGTTTAGCTCTTTTTTTTCCCTGGTAATTCTGCTCTTCGAGACTGAAGAACGTTCTTGCTAAAAGAATGGAAGCTATAGTATATCTGCCTTTCTACAATATTTTGTGTTTTAGCATTGTTTAGCTTTATTCACATATGTAACACCCTGTCTTCATTTGACTCCAGAGTATGTAACAGTTAAGCTGAAAAGTTCGTAGGCTGACACATAGATGGGGCTACTATTATTAAATAAATATCGTTTTCAGGTAGTTCTAACCTTCGAAAGACACTTGTATAAATTTGACAGCTGTCGGACTAACAGTTTGTGAGATATAGTATTTTTAGTGAAGCAACTTTTGTTAGTTTAAAAACAATGGATAAAAAGGAATTTCGCGTACTTATAAAGCATTGCTTTCTAGCAAAAAAAAAAAAAACTCTTGAAGCCAAGGCTTGGCTTGAGAAACATTATCCGAATTCTGTACCAGGAAAATCAACCATTGAGAAGTGTTTTGCTAAGTTTAAACGAGGCGAAATGAACAAAGACGAGGATGCGCACCGTGGACGCCCCAAAGAGGCTGTTAGCGATGAAAATATCAAAAAAGTCAACAAAATAATTCTAGATTACCGTAAAGTGAAGTTGATCAAAATATCTGAGACTCTAAAGATATCAAAGGAATGTGTTAGACATATCGTGAATGAATATTTGGGTATGAGAAAGCTCTA